TGTGTGTGTATTTATATTTCAAGGTAGGAAATCTATTGAAATGGATCTATCTACTGGGTGGAGGTGGTTCTGGTGATAGGATACGTCTACGTCTTTCATCAGCGGCTTGTTCTTTAATCTTCTCTTTTCTATCTTCTATGACTTGTTCTATTGATCCCATAACAAGTTCACTGAACAAAAAAGGAAAGAAAATCATGACAATTACTCTCTAAGAGGTATTTTTACAAAGTATCAATAAACTGGTTTTATTATGAAAACCTATTCGCCGTTCACAAAGACCATTTCTGAAATACAAATCACTACACGGTGCATTGTGGTGTAGCTGCAGTACAAACAACATATTTGGCCATGTAAACAAATGACGTCCGCATCTAGACCACAATGCAATGCGAAATGCCATTTCACAAAAGTGATGTCCATACCAGACATATTTTCAAGAAAGAGGGTCTCTTATAGCAGGGACAAAAGTTTTATCCATTTTCCTAGACCCTTTACCTGTAATTTATCATGCCGGTTTAACAGCTACAAAATTAGCAGTAATGGAAAATGTCCATACTCACTTAATATTTTTAGCTAACTTTACCTGTAATTTATCTCGCCGTCCTTGTTTTTATCTAAGGTTTCGATGAGTGTGAAAAGTTCTTCGTATTTCATATCTATTCCTGTTTCCTAATAAGAAATTTTAAAAGACATACCGTAAATAATCAATGCGTCCCTAAAATAATCAACGCCCMCTGCAAACAATGCACCCATGAGTTGATCCGCTCACTGTGTTAATACTCTCAACTTTCAAGTGAAAAATGTCCGACATAACTATGTGGAAACAAAAATCAAACCCTTGTTGTATGGTACATGTCTTATGGAATATATCAGATTTTCGTTTAACCGTTGAAAACCGTTATCAAGACGTTCGAAGCTACAAATGTAGTTTCTCAAAATGGCGTCTTTAATAAAGGGACTCGCTCTTGCAAGTGCTCATAGGGTGTCCGTTATAGCGAGAGTTGACGACGGTGAAATTTAACTAACCTTCAGTCCATCAGCAAACTCCTTTATCGAAATACTCATACTTTTATCTTTGTCTAATGTGTTAAAGAAATCCAGAAGCCTCATCCTGTTGTCAACGATGTAGTTTTTAAGAATTTTCATAGGTGAAGGGCGGCCTTTAGGTTTGGACAACGCCCCACCACTACCGCCATGGGATATCCGTACGTTTGGCCGAGTAAGTAAAACCTCTTTGCATAATTCAATGAAGTCGTTGTTGACATTGATGTCCTAAGATGGAGGAAAAGTAATGATTAGATAGGTAAGTTAATTAGAATCGTAATACTATCAACTAGTAGCCCACTTGAACCACAGGGATAACATTCCGTATTTCTATCAAATAATGCTGCATTTTTCCATATTGTCACTATCATGCAGTATTAACATTACATTACCATTAAATAATATCACTGATTTACAACTAGTATGGCTACGGTACACGTTTCAGGATCTTTTAGAAACCGCATATTAGCTCAAAATGAGTTTCCGAAAATATCAAAAATTTCATCAAAGGTCATCGTTATCGGTTATATGCAGTTTCAAAAATATCCGGATGCGTGTGGATGCGGCCAAATGTCGTTACCGTGAGCTCCACTTCCACCAATGCACATTCGGGATTGTTTTTCATCGAGTTGACTATCGCATAAGCACCAGCGCTTTGCATAGGATTTTTACCAACCTGAAAATCAGAAAATGCTGCTTTGATAAACACCGCACAATAATTGGCTCAGTTGGTTGAGCATCGGACTACAATGCGGGAGGTCGTGGGTTCAAACCCTGGCCGGACCAATACTCAGGGTCTAATTGAGTAGAAGTTGCTGCCTTTGTCTTTCTCCATCTGCAACTGGTAAGATCTTCACGTCCTCTCGGATAACGACGTTAAATCGGAGGTCTACTCTACTCTAACCCTGTAAGTGGACGATAAAGAACCACTGAGAACGCAGGTACGACCATCCTCAGTGTCTGCACTTCGGCCGCATAACCTTGAGGGCACAAACACACTAACGCACTAACAAATCTAACGCACTCATGTTTGTAAACTGCACGGCTGCTTAAAGCGGCTTCAATATCAGTCTATCCAAGTCCCTCACTAACTATGTAATCCAGATGTAATTCAGATCATTGGTCTGCGAAATCTGGAAAGTCGGCCACATTCATCTATCTATCTACAATAAGGTGCAACGATTTCCTGAAGAATCGCACAGTAACAGCGATTTTCACCCAATTCTATTTGTTGCAAATAGCTTTGCATGAGCTAAATGTTGTCTTTTCTGCAATGCACTTCAGCAGCTAGGAGCACCATTGGACAAAGCATCACGCATCCAGCAACCTAATCTTGACAGCCTGCGTTGAATACACAATGTATTTTTCCATCCAAATCGTCAGTAAGTTGTTTTACCTACTTTTTACGGTGTTTGATTTATCTCTTCACACAACTGTTTCTTTAGAAACATAGATGCATCTCACACTAGTTTACCGCTAGTTTCCACCATTCCCACTACTCTGCATACTGTTTGATTGTAATGCCGTTGCAACACAAGTTGCTGATTGAGCACATTACACAATGTAATAGCACCTGGTAAATTACCTTAAGCACTTGTAAAGTTGTATTAACCATCAGTCCCTTGGCAAGATGTACAGCGCCTTCAGCTGTTATTCTATTGTTCCTAAAAAACGGAAATGATATATCCATCATGATTATCATTTTGACTGTTGCTATGACAAAACAGGTTAAGTTTTCAAACGTCTTCTTGTAAAACTCACGTTAAGTCAAGTTCAAGTAGTGATGAGTTAACTTTGAGTGCCTCTCCCATAGCTAAAGCTCCATCATTCCCAAAACCATTCCAAGCCAGGTTAAGGATCTTCAACGTTATATTCTCCTAAAAACAAAACAAGAAAATATCTCAAATCACATACACATGCGTGTACACATATAGTTGCTTGAGCACCTAAGCAGCAAAAAGCACACATGATAAAAACATGGTAAAAACATCAGTAAAAAGGAAAAGGATTTAAAAAGGGAGAGTTACAGATGTCCAGGGTGTGCCAAGAAGGCCTTCAGAGCAAAAAAGAAGAGTTATTGTTTGACTTAGCTACCTTTAGTGATAGAGCCAATGCACAGGCTCCTTTACCACGAAGATGATTCCAGCTGAGATCTAATTCTGTTAAAGCATCATTTGCAGCTAAAAGAAGAAAATCAATAATGAAAAAATACTCAATGTATGGATCCCATGAAAGAATGTCAGCGTTAAATATTTACATAAAACAAAAAGTCAAATGAATACATTTTTACAAACCTAAAGCAGGTGCAAGCAGCTGACCTCCTTTCTCTCCAATTCGATTATGACTGAGACACAGGTATTTAACTGTAGTATTTGTCTGGAAATAATTATCAATAATGATTAGTAAACAGGTTTAATAACATGGCTTAGATAATAATTTCTGGACTATGAATATGATTTTTGCCATGGTTCCATGCCTCATCTTGAAATGCAACTGTGCTTTTGCATTGAAGTGAGATGACAGGTGAGCTTGCAATGATTGACACCTGTCAATTATTGTCTATGAGTGTGAACAAAGGTTTCTATCATTACATGTTCACCAGTTATGTCATAAGGCATGGTWACATTTCAAGATGATGGAGGGAGCTGTGAAGGAGAATATTGTCCAACTATCTAGGGAAAATAATGCCATATGTTTACCTTGATAGACTCTGCAAGTGTTCCAGCAGCTTTGTCTTCAAACCCATTTCCTAATACATTTAATAGCATTAATCAAAACTAATAAACATTTAACTATCTTTCCTGAAGGAACATATTGATTATAAATGTAATGCAGAGAAGAGTTAAAGTTTTTGATGCTTACCACTAGCAGTCAGTCTAAGAATATTTGAATTGTGCACAAGAATATCACCAAGACATTCAGCACCTCTGTCTCCAAGCCTATTTTCGGACATATCCTGAAAATTAAGCCAAATAATATAATTAAATCTGTACGATTAATAATTACCAAAAAATAAATATAACATAGTGTAAACTCTGGTGAACATTGAAATTATTCCACGAATGTACATACTCCAAATATAACACCACTACTATTTCTGTATTATATATTAAAATAATGAAATAATTCATTAGTTGGTTGACTGTTGGACTTACAAGATCTGAGATATAACAGTTTTCCCTCAACATTTCAGCAATAAATGAAGCACCATCTGCCCCAAGCCAGTTATCTCTTAGATTTAACTTGATTACCGATGTATTAGACTGAAATAAAGATACAGTAGCTACAATATAAAGTCAAATTACCAATAATAATAACACTAATCCTATCTTCTTTCTATGGTAGTCCCCCTATATTGACTAAGGCACCACCCATTCCACTTTGGAGAGGGGATTTGAAAAGTCAAGGATTTCCTTACAATTTTGCATGTACTTACAACTAGTGCAATGGATATTGCTTTAGCACCCATCGGCCCAAGTCCATGATGCTTGATATCAACATCTGATTCTTGCATGTTGCGYAAAAAGAAGGATGCTGGAATGACACCAGCTTCTCTGCAAGCCTGAATATATGTTGTTCTTCCTGTAACATCGTATTCCTCTTTGCAATCTGATTATTGACAGAAGTGTGCCATTGGATATCAAACAAATTAATATATTGTCATTATTATTGATTATTATTATATTATTGGATTATTATATTATTATAGTAGTAGATTGGATGACTCCAATCAGTTTTATAATGTCCTTAAGGTATGTTTTTTAGTTAAGTTTTCTTCCTTTTAAAAAAAACTGAATAATCTTAATTAAGTTGCGAATGCGAATGCTGTTCAATGACAAGAACAATGGACTTACTTAATTAAGTCTGAAGTATGTAGTAATTGTCTTTTCAAAGGTGCTAATTTCGTGAACTATTTTCTAGTTAAAAAATTACTGGAGCACAGCTAATTAAGTTATCTATCAAAAAAGCCACTAGACGCAGTTAGTTATAATTGCACGAAGCGAGCTCAAAATACACAAAGTACGACAACACTTAAGCTTGAATAAATAGTTGATATATCTGTTGCTAGCAGGATAAACAACGAAAACTTGATAGCTCCTATGATGTTGTCAAGTATTCAAAGCATTTCTTTTATAGATTGTACTTAGAATATTCACAAAGTACCATCGGTCTCCAGGTCTGTGTCCCAATCTTCATCGTTGTCGAGATTTTCCAAAGTAATATCATCATCGGGTGACAGAGAGCCCGTTGAATCTCTCCTAAGTTGTCCAGTTGGTGGACTGAGCATGGCCTTTAGAGAATTAGAAATGGTTAGTGGTGTATTTCAGGGAATTTAGTAATCTATAAAGCACATTTTGAATTACGTTTTTTACTCACCCTTCGAAATTCGAAAGGAAAGTCGCTTGTTCGATTGACTGTCAGCGTCCGTGAATCCTTATCGGTTGGTGACCGAATCGGCGTTGAGACTCTCCCTGAATTTGAATCCATGTCTTGTTTTATATATTTACACTTTTTGTGGCCTATTGTGTAGAAAAAAGACTTCAAAAAGATATCCCTCTGCCGTTCCTTCAACCTCGAGTTCGCTGTCCATTTGCTGTTGTGATACAGGCCTCGCTATCATGCCGGACAAGATTGCCATTCGTTGTTATGACAACGAAACATTATCAGCTAACGATCCTCAAAAAAGAGGCAGAATTGCAAAAATATAGCATAATAAAATTGTTCCTAAAAAAGAATAAATAATATAGTATTCGGCACTCGTTACACTTTTATTCACGCACTTATTCAAAAGAAAATAATATATTTTCTATTAAGAATCGACACCTGGAGCCCATTATACCGACACCAAGTGATATAAAGATGGCCATTTCAACAAAGTGAACAATTTTCCATATTTCTTTTTTGATTCATATCACAAATAATAARTGAGTCATTTTTTTTTTAATTTGCGAAGACTGGAACCAAATGACGTAATGACAATAATTTCACCAGAACGAGGTAACGTGCGCCATTTTGAGAAGTGAACGTAAGGAACATACATCTCTTTATTTGAATACTATTTCTTTCCAAAATGCCTCGAGGAGGAAGACGATCGAGTGGCCGTTCATCTCCTTTATTTAGTAAGCCTGCACCAAAGGCTGCAGTACCGGCTAGACCTCCTCCATCAAGCGTTGGTAGTCCACAACCTCGCCAGCCGGGAATGCTAGGACAGATCGCTTCTACTGCTGCTGGAGTTGCGATAGGTTCCACTGTGGTAAGAACAAAGAGCACAGTTGTGAAGTTTGTTTTTCATAATGAGTTTTCATCAGTTATATTCCTTTGTTATATATTGACTTTAAGACAATTAGTAAACGTAGTAAATTTTATACGACACGTTTTTGATGCGTCACTGTAAAAGCAAATCCACAAAATTGTCTTTTAAGGTTATTAAATGGTTATCTTTATGATTTCAAGATCCTTCTTTCTTGAATTATTGGTAATAAGTGTCAATGACTAGTGATCAAATAATATCGATGTTTACAAAAGTACAAATTGAGGCCGATGTTATGTAATTTTTTCTGTTTATTGCATGACACAGGAAGCCCATAAACTCATAAAGATTTTTTGTAAATCACAACTTATAAATAAAAGCACCCTATTTCTAGCATATTATATATTTCTTAGTATTTTCCAAGTCATCTATGTGTGCAGATGTCATTTTTTTTATAAATCCTATTTCAATGAAAGAAAGCTATTATTGTTGAGTGGAAATTACATACAGTATGCTATTCTATTATCATAACCCGTTTTATTATTTTTTATTGCAGGGCCATGTTGTTGGAGGTGCATTAACTGGAGGGCATGGAGGCGCAGACAATCAAGTAGCAGACCAACCAATGGGTGGATATCAACAACCWTATCAGTCAGGTCAACCACAGCAGAATCCATGTCATTTTGAACTTCAACAGTTTGTTGAATGCGCACAGAACCAATCAAATATTTCCTACTGTCAAGGTTTCAGTGAAGTTTTAAAACAGTGCAAGCTCCAACATGGTAAAAGTGTTATTATTACTACTATTTATTTCTTTGTCAATACTTGGAGTATTATATATGATTTTATATTAAATGTGATTTTTATATAGACAGGCCTAGCTGTGAATGCTTGCTTTAGCTGTGAATGCTTGCTTTTAGCGATCTCTTTTACGCTGTGTTAACCTCAAAACCATGTAATAAATTCTTTTATTTCACAATAGCCCGTGCAAATGCAAGAGATCTGTGAGTATAGAAGACAATGGAAATAGTTTGAAATCTCATGAGTTTTATCAACATTTCTGAATATTTTAGTACACAATTGAGGCTAACACAGYGTAAAAGAGAKCGCAAGACTCAACTATTCTCTCTCAAATATCTAAGTGAACATATTTTTCATATCTTTATAGGTCTGTCTTAAAAATTATGGCTTGAATCAAAGGAAAATGGTGTCACATTCAAGCACTTGCAGATTCATACAATCAAGAACAAGCTTTGTTGGTGAACCTAAAGAGTGAGAACTGTCATGACTTTATTGGGAATTTGGTCATTTGTGGCTTGATTTTTATATGTGAATAAAAATGCTTAAAAACAATTTCAGTTGTTATTTTTAGTATGCTGTTAGATATTTCTATTTGGTGGTAAATGATGGAAATTCAAATTTCTAATTTCATTCCATTATCATGTAGACTTGCTCCAAGTGACTCAATGCTTACTCTTGAGGGATGGGGAAATTCCAGAACTACCATTATTCTAGAAAATTAAAAATTGCAAGAGCTTATGGTGACYACACATTGATAATCATGTCTCTTGGAAAAATGGTCATTTTACTTCATCAATGCAAGTGAAGATCAAAAATAATCTTTAACTTGACCACCTTGCAAGCAGTTTACAAGAATTCTCCCTGAGGAAGRTTGTTCCATGTTTCTMTTTACAAAAACTAYAATGYTGAACAAACAGAAACATCTACAWTRTAATTATCAGCTGTAAACCCATCACCATTTCCAAGTGTCTCAACCAGTGATGGTTTTCTATTGCACATTGGGCATAARTTATTGCGGACTTTTGATGACCTCATCCATATGATAAGATTGCATCTTTCTCCATCAGAAATAGGCAATGCTCCATGCATGTGTTGACCTCTRTGCAGGATTCCATATTCTGGTATATTTTCTTCTTCAAAACAGTTTGTTTCTTGCATAGAAACCTAAAAGTGAACCAAAAAGATGCCCATCCTAAACTGTTATTCAATAATATCTGACTGTGTTCAGTGTGTATAAGTTGCATGTCTTTGGTTACACCATAGTTAATAGAGAAGTCCTCTCTAACTATGGTTACACTTTTACTGTAGTTGTTCAATTAAATTCAACATGTTGGACTCAACWTTTTTTGACAAACAATTTTGCAAACGTTTGCACAAACCTCAAAGGATTGGTGCATAATTATGTACAATTATCATACATACCTGTCTCATATCTCCAAAATATAGCTCACCACCTGAAAACTCCTTCCCTAAGCAAACATTCAGGGTTACCTCAGCATTATCATAGTGATAGCTAAGATCAATATCCTGACCAGTCCTGTASTGAACTGTGAAGGCTTTATGAGAGTCTAGACTATCACCACCCCARTGGGAGTAGAGTAGGGCTGTTATTGGTACAAGGTATTCCTTTCTTAGTGGTGTAAGGAAATCTTTGTCAAAGCCAAGTTCATCAAGTAATATCTAGAAACATGTCACACTTACAATTAGTATTATATATATACTCATTTATGAATTAGTTTCATATATCCCTTTATGAAAACTTGCACCATCTTGACCAGTGGTTATGTACTTCTGCCAGGAGTTAGGGTTGAATAAAGGTGCTTATCAATGAAATCATACTTAACCGAGTGTTGTCCAATATTCTGACAAATTTATGCATAGTATTGTATTGTATTATATCCACAGAACAATAGATTAACAATACAACTCTTTTAAGAACGACGCAATACAATAGAATACAATACAATGGCATGCATAAATTTGTAAGAGTATTGGACAAGTATGACTTAACCAGTAGTGTTGCACATAGTGAAAAGAAGGCAGAGCTGCCTTTTTGAGCCTTTCAAGATGATAAAGGGAATTTCGAATGAGAAGCAATTTTGTCTCACTTCTTCATTTATGCATGTGATGTTCAAAAACATACTTTCTTTTATACATTTGTTGTTGTTGTTGTTGTTGCTTTCGTACCCCATAGTTATTCATAGTATTTGGTCTTCCTCTTGGACAATCAGATGCCTCAAAATGTGAAAGTTCTTCCAATAACAACTTGCAAAATTCCTTTGTGAAAACTGGAAATCTGTATATTTGTTCCCCTGTAAATCAATATCATTATGTCAATAAAAAACAAGCTATACAACTTTTATCTGTCAAACATAAAATGATTATTTTACCATTGCATTTTTGCAGAAGCAGTAACAAGTCTTTTACATTTGYCTCTTCACTTTTACAGAACTTTACAATGTCCAAAAATCTTTTATCAAGGTATGATTGCTGCAGAGGAAAAATACCAAGARAATTGGGGAAGCTGTCTTCTACACTTTACAATTATCAGTGACATCAGGGGATGATGTTTTATTTTAATTTACCAGCTAATAATTTTACCTTGAGGTGATAAATCTGAGGGTGCTTTGGTCTAAAATTTTGCARAATGATCTCTTTTCTTTGCCTTGCTTCTTCTCCAAGAGACTTTCTCCTTTCAATTTCTTTTTTAATCTACAATTTAGTTGGATTTCAGTTTTTTGTTTACTTTCTTTAATCATCTCATAATTCAATGACAAATTTTCCCCTGCTCTCATTAGTTGAGAGTCAACCAYGTGTTRGATAGTGCCAACCGAAAAARKGTACTATCAGAGCATAGAGCCTATTGCTTCCAACAATTCTGTTGTGGAAACTGAATATTCTGAAAAGAMAATAGAAGGCTGATACCACAGTTTGGAAGCAGTGTGGGACTCCATTAACTGATAGTAGCCCTCCATGATGGGCACTATCACATATCAGTGGGACCTATAGTCTCTCCTTGAATTACTTATCCATACATTTTATAGAGGTGATAAAGTTAGTATTTTTTGTAACAAAATCAATTAATATTTTCTGACCTTCAAAACTAAACTTCGCCACTGATCGTCCGAAACGCATCCTCTAAGTCTCAAATGCTGAATAAAAACGTATGATTACCTTTATATAAGTTTTAAAATGATATATTTTCTTCTGACAAGCAAATGTTTTGAACACAATTAATTTTCATCAATTTTTTTACCTGTCTGTATTGCTGAGTAAACTGCTGTTCATCTTCAAAAATTATATGGGCTTTATACTCTTCAAGAAAAATATTATGGGTAAAAAAGCAACGGCAAAGAAATCGAGGTCTCTCYTCTCCATGAATGTCCATCATCCTCCATTTTGAAAACAAACATTACCCAGTTCCAATTCCTAATGTGGGTTACCTGTGGTTAATTGGTGCATTCTGGGAGCGATTCTCGTAACCAAAGCAAAATGGCKATTGTTTTGTTGGGTGAAAAATGTTTTGTGTCCAAATTTTAAACCGGAATTTTCACAAACATCACTCGAAAATTTCTCGAAAACGAGGAAATTAAGGTACAAGCTCAAGAACGCTCAATCAAGAGAAAAACGTTCGTCTTTCTGTTCTTTGAGAAATAATTCTTTGATGAATGTAAAGAGCTATTGAAAAAGTTTTGAACTTGCCCTGTCAATTCACTAGAAAGAAGATTTAGATGTTTATTTTTTATCAAAAAAACAACCAGTTTCCCAGGCACACAAGAAGTTGAAGAATCTTTTCTCATTAAGAATTCTACCAAGTTCACAAGACATCAAAGGCTGTCCATTCAGTTCGCGTGATTTTCTCTCTCCTCCATGGCACATCTTCTTGGCTACGAAAGCTGCTTAGATAGCCTGAGTCAAGATGTTTCTGATATTCAGTCTGTGGTCATGGATATTACATCACGTGCTGGGCCAGTAAGGTCTCCATCATGGAAATATCCAGATAAAATATCAAGTGAATTAGACATTGATGAATTACTTGAAATGTACTGTCACTCAGATGATGAGGATCACAGTAAATTGTCACACATTGTATTATTTGAACTGGTTATTGATAGGTGAGTGTACTTAGATGATTGGCAAAGACATAGGGAGTTTCAAATGTGGGGTAGTACCAACAGAAAAATAATTCTTAAGCCCGGTTCATACATCGAGCAAGCGTCACGCCGAAACCAAATTTAGTACATGAATAGCTTGACGCATGAATCAATTGAGTTTGGCACGAACACAGCACAGCAGTGGCATGGCATCACCAGTTAGGCTTCACGGCAAAAGCTTGATGCTAATTCATACGTCGAGCTTTCGTCGTGCCAAACTTAACGTATAACTTATAATAATAACAATAATAATGGTGTAGAATTGTGTGTTATTACTCTGAAGTTCCGAATAATCATATAGAGCATAATAATAGTATAAAGTGGAAAAATACAAATTTACCAATAATAGTATAGATCGGAATAATAGTATAGGGTGCAAAACCGCTGACTTCTCCCCAGTTTCCCCTGTGATCAAATCCGCTGACCAGATGATTTGTGCTCTTAGTTTGCTGTTCGTTCGCGGTTTTGTTTTCGTTTTAGAGACAAAAAGTCTGTCTTTTTGGCAACTTTTTTCATTTTTTTTTCTCACGATATTGTTAATAACTAATTAAGGTAGGCACAGAGAAAAAAATTGTGAAAATTAATAATCGTACAGTCCCAAATAAGGCCGTATAGAGTGGAATATTTTGCCAAAATAAATAAGCGTATATATACGATTATTCGGAACTTCAGAGTAGACCTTTTCTTATGCTTTTGACTGCAGTTGGTTCGACTTGTGAATCAATGCCGTACTGAGTGTATTTGGGTCGACGCAAATGACTATTTGGGCCGGCGCGATGATAGCCCACCATATGAAACRGGCCATAGGTTTTATATTATACAGTCCCATAGCAGAGCTCTAATGTCTGTACAGATGGAGCTCTACAGACTGAATATAAAACACAGTAAATGATGGAGACTATTTTTTTATGGACCAACACAGGGTTCCTACATATATGCACATTGTCTATTGAGCGTGTACCCCAAAGGAAACTCATACCCTATGTGAAAATCGAAATTAAGAAATATCACCAYAAAATCTCCAAAGATTTGCTGAACTGGCTTATTTCACTATGTTTCAGTTGTTTAGTGGCTTAGTGTGAACCTCTTGCACCCCTAACCCCTCCCTTTYRATCTATCCCAGCGAGATGGTTCCAACTAGATTATATTTGAATTGTTGTATTTTTGTCAGACTGGTTCTGCTTCTACAAGGTGCGTCTCAATTTGTGGATCAGCTTCTMAGATCGTCTGGYAATGAAAATCGACCAGGAAGTAGCAGGGTGATGGGCTCGGCTATCTCYGTTGGATTGGTTGCTAAGAAGTTCTGGAGTAAAATTGTCAAGATTCAACAAACAACACAACAGATCCATTTTGAGGTGAATAGTATAATAATCAGGGATTGATTGTATGAAGGGTGGTTAAAGTTATCAACCCTATTGATTTTTTATAACTGCTGCCAAAGAATATTCTACCAACTGAGCTATCCATCATTCATACATTTTTTTGCATAATTTTTTATAAGCCATTTGACTAACTGTCAKTTGTATAGCTTTTGTGTCATATTTATTGTAAAATCTGCTATTGGTATGTTTTTCAGACCAAGACAAAAGCAGAAACCCTAAGTAAAATGGAGGAAACTATCACAGAGTTAAGAGATGAAGTAAAAATGCTGAAAAAGGCTTTAGACAAGAAAGGAGAAGGAAGAATTGTTAGTGGCAAGATAAAAGGCAAAGGCAAATCCTCAGCAACAAGCTCTGCAAGGTTTATTCTTTCRCCAACTGAAAGCTTATCTCTTAGAAGTCCCTCACCTGCGAATGATGTAACACTCTCTGTTGAAGATGTGGCATTGGCTAAAACTCTACAAGAAACCTCCACACAGACCTATGACACAGCTTTCATTCCATGTGAAGCTTGTTCAAGGACTCAAAAACATCTTATTGATGTTGGAAATATGGTGATGAGTCTTTGTGAGTCTCAAGGTCTACCATCTTCKCTAGCAAAACAGAAGAAACTATTAAGAAAGTCCCTCATGGCKGCCGCTGACATATCACGATGGACTTCWGAACAAAACCAAGATCTTGCAAGAATAAAYAACCATCTTGATAACTTATATGCACAAATAAATCCACTTGARTCGAAGTTGAAAAAYTCWCAAGACAATTGTAAACACCTTGAACAGCAAGTCCAGGGACTTGAAGATGAATTGGTTGTGGAGAAAAATGAAGGATTAAAGAGAGAAGAAGCTGTGAAAATGGAGTTTCAGAAAGTAGTTGAKGAAAAAGAGTTTCTTTTGGCTGGTGCTAATGATGTGAACAAGCAACTGAAACAAGGGAACGAAGTTTTGCAGGAGAAAACAGAGGAACTAAGTGAAACTTTAACAAAGCAGAGAGAAAAGCTYTCAGAACTTGGTAAGATTCCTAAATTTTCATCATTGAGTTTTTAATGCTGTTTTAGCTCACGAATTTTTTTATTACAGAAAAGCAAAACTTTCAATTAAAGACGAACTTGGAAACTGAAAGTAACGAAGTTAAAAGGTTGAGAAAAGTTGATGAAGATATTCTCAACTTGAAAGTAGAGCTCAACGAGGTGCAAATTAAGTTGCGAGAAACTTCATTAGAACTTGATAAAACTCAAGCCAAAAATCGTTCTCTGGTTAAACATGAACAGGTAAACTAATGGTCTAAAAAAGTTACGTTCGCTTGCAATTTCAATTATATTAAAAGAATTGTATTCACAAATCCACCTATTTGTCACAATGCATTCAACACCTGTTGTGAATGACAAACAGCCGACTAGAAGTTGTCTAGAATCGAAATTAATCGAGTGAAACATTTTCTTTCTGTATCTAACCGCGAGGGAATTTTCTTTTGCAGGCACTTCAAAGCAAACACGATGCACTTTTACAAAGAGTTGACGACTTGGATAATGAATGCGAAGACTTAAGAGACCGTTTAATGGAGGCAGAAGGCGAAAGGGATGATCTTCAAGACGCTTTGGACAATAAAGAGCAGCTGCATACAGAACTCAAMAGTAAACTTGAAGAAAACAAGGTAACAGTTTCTTTTCATCGACGTTCTAACATTACCGAGGAAAAACCCAATTCGCTTTTCAATTTGGGACATTTTTAAGCGCAGTTATGATCCTATTGAAAGTATCGCTTTTTTTATACGATATTTCCAGTGGGTTGTGGTTTAAGTCATAGTTAATTAGTTTAGTGTACAAACGTGTACAAATCTTTTAGGTGTWTTTTCACCAACGCATAAGCATAAACGCAAACATAAGCATACCCTCAGTTGGAAATTTGCGGCACAACGGCAGTAGTATGCCTGCCATAACACACCAGGACTCAAAACTGAAAAGTGTTTTTATCATGAAAAATTTTTAAGTCGTTGAATCTTGTTTGGATCTCGGTGAATTGACTTCTCTCGCACATATCACAAATTTAAGATTTTTCACGGAAAAGTCAAAAAAATTGTTTGATATAGCATAGCTTGTTTTATTCAATAAMATGTTTCTAAAAGTTTTGATCATTATTACTTTTGTCGTAGAAAATTATCGACGATATTCAAGAGGAGAAGAAATCCTTACTCGAAAATTTGAAAGAACTTCAAGAGAACTGTCAAAAGCTTCAAGATCAAATTCGTGAAAACGAAGAAAAAATGAAGATTTTGGCTGATTATCCAGCAATGGACACAGAAAACAATTCAAAAAATAGCGTAAAAGATGGCCGGGACGTTACAGAAATGGATGTAGTCAAAGACATGGAACGTCAAGTTATGGCAAATAATATAAGAATTTTAATGTTGGAAGAGCAAAATGAAAAATTAAGAAAGTCTATAACTTTGTTGATATCTGCAGCAGAAAATGACCAAAGGAGAACAGTAAGTTTTATCGAGAAAGTTTGAAGAAAGCAAAATATGTGAAGTAAAACTGACTAATTTCGACATGGTACTCATAGGACATATTGTTATCCTTTTCAGCCTCAAAATCCTGTTAGTTTGTGGAAGTCTCAAAGCACAGACAAAGAACGACGCCCATCTTCAAGGTAAGCAATCCCCTTAAGTATTCATTCAGTATTCCCGCTCTCTGGATGTTCTGGGTTTTCAAGGATGGTCGACAATATGCTTCTCCCTGAATTTTTTACTATTTATTGTTTTTATTATACACAGAATATTGAGTAAAAATGTTTGTTTTCTTCGCAGAGCGTCTGGTACAGGRTGTTACATTGATGACAAAARCACAACTGCTTCGTTYACAATCCAACCACGACCTCCTTCAAAACCACGAAAAGACTCCGCAAAATCACGTCAAAAAAGCCCTAATGTCAAACTAATAGAGAAGCGAAATTCAGTTTCATTGAGYTCAAAATTAGCGTCAAGCAGMAAGCAAAGTAGACATTCTGACAGACAAACCGAGTGGGACCTCGGTCCCCCCATCGGTGCTGCAACAAAAGCGGGCCGTGCTACAAGTCCTAGTGGGTACTCTGCGATGGAGGTGTTTATGTGTAATAGCTGTGATAAAATGTAYCATAGCCAAAAAGACTTGGATATTCATAAATCGTTTTGTTATGGGAATATCACCGGTTTGTCTTAGGATATTTTGTATTTTACACAGTTCTAACAATTGAATAAAAGACTAATCAAATTTATCAGTCATTTAAATTATATATTTTTCCCACGACGTAMATTTTGTACGKGGGGTGGGGGGATTTTATTCATAAAGATGTTTATACTTATTAAAGAAAAAAGAAAGTTTTGAAAAAAATTAAAACAAAAAGTAAAGGAGAAAATTTACAGCTTTTCACAGAAAACAACACAAGTAGAGCCCAGGCGCCCTGCGGTTACCCGGGTGTGAGAAACTTAAACCAAATATATTGGCGGGAACGACGTTTGATGCCGAGAAACARATTAGAAATAACATTTTCATCAAAGGTAGACCTTTATTTTTAAAATGCACACCATGAGGAAACTAGTTTAACAATCATTTACAAGAAGGATTGATTATTAATCAATA